CAGTACAAAAGGCACTTTCCCTCACCCCACCTCACCCCAGTTGTTGGACCCTTCCTGAGAGATCTGGCTCCTGCTCCTGGTTCCCAGGTCATTTACTAAAAGAACACTCATCGCATCCCCAGATCAATGGTGAATCATTTTACAGCCGAGAAAACTGAGGCATAGAGAGTTTAAAAGCCTACACTGCTTGTGAGTGGTGGAGGTAATATTTAACACAGGAGATCCGATGCGGTTAGGGTAGCCATTATTTTCATTTACAAAACAGATGAGAAAACCTAGGCATAGAAAGTTTGAAAGTAACTTGCCTAAGGTCACATACTAGTAGATATCAATGCTAGGATTTGGACTCAAAGTGTCTACTGCCAGAGTCTGTGCACTTAACCACTATACTATACTGCCTCTGGAATTCCACCATGATTCAAGAAACGTTTTGATGATTTCCACGTGCTAGGTACTGTTCTAGTCTCTGCGGATACAGCAATGAATAAAACAAACCAAAAAACTCTGCCTTCATGGATCTTACATTCTAGAGGCAGGTGTGGGATGGTGGGGGAGGCAATACCAAAAACCAAACTCATTTCTGTTGAGTCAATTCCGACTCATAGCAACCCTATAGGACAGAGTAGAACTGCCCCATAGGGTTTCCAAGGCTGTAAATCTTTACGGAAGCAGACTGCCCCATCTTTCTCCCGTGGAGCATCTGGTGGGTTCTAACTGCCTGCCTTTTGGTTAGCAGCCAAGCGCTTTAACCACTGCTCCACCAGGGCTCCTGGGGGAGGCAATAAACTAAATAAATATGTAAATTATGTGGTATGATAAAGATGAGAAGTGCCATGGAGAAAAATAAAGCAGGGAAGGGGGATATGGAGTGCCTAGCTTGCAGCATGTTGCGATTTAAAATAAGGTATCAGGGAAGGCCTTACTGAGGAAACCTTTGAGCAAACACTTGCAAGATGGGAGGGGCAATTATTAAAGTTATATCCTTCTGGACTCCATCTCTACCAAATCAGAGTCTCTGGGCATGGGGCCCTGGCATATGTATTTTTAACTCCATCCAAGAATCAGATGCTCAGCAAGGTTCGGAAGACACTACCGTATGACTTCTCTCTGCTCGCTTTCAGGAAGTTGGGGGAGAAGCGGGAGTGAAGGTCTAATAACTGGCTATAAGGTGGTGGTGGTGGTGGTATGGCCGTGAGCTTAAAAAAAAAAAAAGGAAAATCCAAAGATTAATGCCTTCTTCTTCCTCTGGGGTCCATGAAGAAGGGAACAAGGTATTCATTGGCGCCTATAGTTCATCCATCTTAGATTTTTGTCAATGCATGTTAATTCACATTAAAATCTAATAGTATTCTCACTGAGAATCAGAGTTAAGGTAGTAAAGGATCTTAGAGGTAATCTCTAAGGGCAATTTCAAGGGCAGAAACTAAGGTCCAGAGAAGGCCCTACCCTGATTACACAGGTCGTTAATATCAGAGTTAGGGTAAGAGCTCAACTCTGCTGACGTCCAGGCCAATGCTATTGCTATCACAAGACAGTCCTACCCAATGAACACGTGTGGAAAGAATAGTTGAACTGAGTAATTTACTGGATATTTAAAAAATGCTTGCAATCCAGTCTTAGGGCTGCTACCCCCACTTCCAAGTCCTTGCTTTTAACCCATGAATGGGGACATTGCTCACTTTCGGGACCCTGAGTCCATCTTCTGAAGGTCCTATCCTAGTGCCAGGAACGTGGCCAGTGGTTGGGGCTCTTAAATGGCGAGTCAACAAAGAAGACTAGCACCCTCTGCCTGCCCCATTGAGCTGGGATTCTAAGGCCATCTCCCTCTGCAGGACAAGGAGAATGGCTGGCACCCAGGAGTATGTGCTAGAGAAAAATACTCCAGTAAGTACTGGCCTCAGAAAGGCAGCCGGCTCTGCCAGTTAGCGTCCAGGTGATTTCCCATACGCCCTTTACCCTCTTTGCACCTCAGTGTCCTCAATTTTTGAATAAAGATGTTAGTGCTACTTACTTTATGGGGTTGTTGGAGGAATTACATAAGATAGCAAATCTTTGTACTTTTGAAAGTTATTACTACTCGGTTCTTTGATGTATTGGTTCAGCTTCTTTGTAAACTTCTTGAAGGCAGGGATTGTGTACATCATATTTTCATAATTCATTATAAACCATTTATTAGCTGTGGCACTGTGAGTAAATCTCTGACCCTCTGTGAGCCTGTCTTCTCATCTGTCAAATGGAGATAATACAACCCATCTTGCTTCCCACAGAAAGTTATTATGCCCCTTATGTGAGCTAATAACTGTGAATACCCTCTGTACATTGCAAAGAACTATACAAATGGGAGAGATCAGTATAATTACTGTTAGTAGTTGTGATTTGCACTTAATAACTGAGGTATTTAAACTGAGCTACAAATGCAGTTCCTAAAGCCTAACATTTTTCGCCGTCTCACAGGAGCAGCCTTGTTGTTGTTAGGTGCCCGTCGAGTTGGTTCCGCCTCATAGCGACCTTTTAGGACAGAGTAGAACAGTCCCATAGGTTTCCAAAGAGTGGCTGGTGGATTTGAACTCCCGACCTTTATGGTTAGCAGCCGAGCTGTTAACCACTACGCCACCAGGAGCAGCCTTAGCGAGCTTTAATACCTGGAGGTTTCTTACAGAAGCCAGTAAGGCAGGATTAGAGAAGATTTGGTTTACATTGGAGGGTGCACACACCCCAGTAATAATGCGGCTGCCTCTTTAAATATTGGGATGCAGGGGCGGAGCCCTCCTCAGAGAAACCGTTGGGCCGCTTTGTTTCCCGGTAGTGACGTTGGAAGGCCGCAGTGATGGAGGACGTGCTGGACCTGGGCGAGGAGCGCCGTCGCGGCTCGGCCACCTCCGTGAGGACCGACGCGCAGGGCTTGGGGCCGGGATTTGGCGGGTCGGGAGGAGCCACCCCGCCGGCCTCGGCCCGGCCTGTCCCAAGTGGCCGGAGTTGGCGGGCCCGGGCCAGGCCGGGACCAGGCCGCGGAGGAGGCGGTCTCCCCCGCCCCGCCCCCGGCGCTGCGGGGCTCCGCCGTTGCCTTGGGGTTTGCTTTCTTTAAAATCGTTAAAAAATAGAAACTCGATCCTCCTTCCGCCGGCCCTGGGACCGGTGGGGCATTTCCCAGCCTCTCCCCTCTTTCTGCAGACCCAGGACGGACTGATCAGACGGAGGGTCCCCGGCCATTGTCGCACTTGCACTCATCCTAGACCTTATTCCTAGGGTCTTCTCATTTTAGAAGTTCATGTCAAAACCTCACTTTTATGCGTGGAAGAAAGGCAGGCAGGGACGGCCTTTTCCCCCATAATCTCCACGGGACGTTAGCCCCGTATTATAGTTAAGGACATCGAGAGTGGGATTTATAACGGGAGGCGTGGTGAGGCGTTTCGGCCCGAGGTCAGTTAACCTCTGTGAGCCTCGGTTGAGGATGTTGCTGTCTACGTATTTCAGGCACTTGCAGTGAAGATGCAATGGGACCATGCATGGAAAGCACTTAGCAGTGCGTGGTATAGGCTAAATTCTCAGAAAAGCTTAGCTGCTGTCGCTCCCGAGGCTGTGATTTACCCAGGGTTATAGTCAGTAAATAACGGAGCTAGGTTCAAAAAAGGAGCCCTAGTGGCGCAGTGGTTAAGCCCTCGACTGCTAACTGTTTCGGCGGGTTCAACCACCCAGCGGGAGAAAGTCGGCTTCCGTAAAGATTTATAGCCTTGGAAATTACGGGGGCAGTTCTACTCTGTCTTACAGGGTCACTACCAGTGGGAATCGACTGAAGAGCAAGGGGTTTGGTTTTGGGTTTAAAGACCCAAGTTCAGTGTTTTTCCTACTCCATCACAGCCCTCATCAGGCCTGTTAACCTTTAAAATTAGTCAAGATCGCACTCACTATAAGATTGGGCCACACGGTACGTTTTTAGTTTCTGCTTCAAAATCTGTGTTTTGAAGTGTTCTGATAGCATTGGATGCCTTCCAAGGCGCTAGAAAGGCACACCTCTCTGAGGGAGCTGTGAGAGACTGGAACGAACTGCCCAAAAGCAGGTTGCTTGACTGACCAAGAAGAATATTAGGTTACTAGGCCTTTTTGATATGTAAACTTTTTAGTACACTTATGTGTACTAAATGTGGTTGTAGTTGTTAGTTCACCCATTCTTCCACCAAATGTTTATTGAGCCCTACTGGGTATCAGACGTTATCCTAGGTGTTGCAAATACAGCAGTGAATTAAAAAAAGTCTCTGCCCTTAAGGGGCTTAAAATCAGGTAGGAAAGTAGTTTTTCCACCATAATACCTGTGGATTTATACAAGGTCTTCAAAAAGTTTAAAACCTTAAAACACGTAACAGGTAGTAGAGAAACCATCTGGAAACAGCACTTTAGAGGCAAAAGTGTTGAATTTTTGTTTGCACAACCGCTGTATGAAGTATGCCGTCTTCAGATATTGGATGCTTTGAAATGAAGAAGGGCAACCATGGGTAAAGGGTTGGCAATTGTCTGCCTTGACAGGAAAATGAGCCGCTTATCAGAATGATTAGGTAGTTTACATCATCCCAGAAACCTAAATGATTGACACGAGAATTTGAAGTGTAAACACTGCATAAGGGTTTTTATACAGCTCCTGTGTCACCCCTCCCGATTTATTGATACAGTCAGTTCTTAAAATTGTGAAATTGAAATTACAGCATGGTATAGTGGAAAGAACCCAGGATTTAAAGTCAGAAGAAGACTTTGCTCTTAGATTTCTCTCTGCTATTTAATTACCTTCCTCAGTTTCCTCATTTGTAAAATATTATCAGTCCTAGTCTCTGCTACTGTGAGGATCAAGTGAGGCCACACCAAATGAGATCTAAAAACCATTAATGCTGGTTTTAAAAAGCAAACAAACAAATATTTCAACACCCATTGGTCTGCTTAAATAAAGTTTTGAAGCATTTGAAATACAGAGCCTCCACCCCAGGAGGGTTTTGGGAAACACTTGCAGGCGGTTCATTTGATGACTCAGATATGAAGTGCTCTGATTTCCAAAGTTGATAATCTCAAAATTCCTTCAGTAGATTTCCCTGCTTATCTGTAAATGCAAATTTAATGAGTGTACAAGTCAAAGCAACTACTATCTGCATTTCTCTAATTTGTTACCACAGAATTTAGGAATCCTTTCCACACACCTTTTTGATAATTAATTTCATGCAAAGCTGCAGCTTTGAAATTAGCTCTTCCTAAAATCATGTATACCAGTTGCCATAGAGTTGATTCCGATGAATGCACATGTATAATGCATCCTACTGTGAGTCAATAGGTTAGAGATTTGAGTCCAACCAGAGGCACCTCAGAAGAAAGACCTGAGGATCTACTTCCAAAAAATCAGCCATTGAAGACCCTATGGAGCACAATTCTACTCTGACACAATGGGGTCATCATGAGTAGGAGTCAACTCAATGACAACCAGTACTGGTAAAATCCTCTATATGAATACGGGAGCTTTTACCAAACCCTTCCCTGAGCTGTAGCATGATGTCTCTGCTCATTCTGAGGAAGCCATATTTCTGTGGGTAGAAAAGTGATTTTGCTTTTGCAGTCCATATGGTACTTAAGGTTTTCATTGGCTAATTTTCAGAAGTAGATCATCAGGCCTTTCTTCCTAGTCTATAAGCTTTGCGGAAATTTGTCCATCATGGGTAACCCTGCTGGTATTTGAAATACCGGTGGCATAACTTCCAGCATTGTAGCAACACACAAGCCACCACAGTACAACAAACAGGTGGTGTATGGAATGCTCCTTAGAAGCAAGGATGGTGAAAACTTCATCTTGCTTACTTTGGACATGTCATCAGGAAAGCCCGATCCCTAGAAAAAACATCAAGTTTGATAACTTAGAGGGTCAGCGAGAATGAGGGAAACTCTCAGTGAGATGGATTAACACAATAGCCAGAACAGTAGACTCATGTATCAAAGATCATGAAGATGATGCAGGACTGGGTAACGTTTTATTGTTATACATAAGGTTGTCGTGAGTCTGAGCTGACTCGATGGCAACTAACAACAGCATGGTAGTTAAAGGAAAATCTTGTGACCATTAACCCATGAATTTCTTATTCCCCTACCAAATAGAACTGACCTCAGGTGCTTTGTTTTAGGATTTAGAGCATTTTCTAAGACTGTATCAAAGTTATTCACATCCCATCCTCCACCATGTTTTCTTAAATCCATTCCTTGCTTACCTTCCCAGAATTCTCATCCTCTTAGTGTCTCAAGCCATGTTTGGGTCAGCAGTGTCCTTCCCTCTTTCCTTACAGGGGCCCAAGATGGGTCGCCGAGCTCAACTGGAGTCAGCGCAGACTGAGAATCAGCTCAGTGGCAAGAACTCCTCTTTGACTCTGACTGGAGAGGTGGGTGCTGAAAAAAAAATCTTAATGAGCAGGAATTTGGATTTATTTCGCATTTCTTTTCAGTGTCAGCTGTTTCTCCTGTCTTGACTTGGGTATTCCCTTCTTTGGCATTTGTCCTATTAGCAGAAAATGAAAGAGGCATGCTGGCTATGTTAAGGTTGAATTACACAACTGGACATTTGCTCTAAGTGGTGACCTGTACTTCCTACATTTTTCAAGCGGGAAGGGAATCAGTACTAGCCTTACTTTCTTGGAAACTCTTCCTAGTGGCCTGGAATTATGGGAATACCCAGCATCTTTGTGGAGGGTAGGTAATCCTCATGAGCGGTACTTTTAATGCCAGGGCACTGTTCTGTTTCTGTGTATAAGAAGACAGTTAAAGTTGTCGCAGTTTAGTCAGAGCCCCTTTTCCCCTTTTAGTCTTTTTGAAAAAAATTTGCCCTTTTCAAAATTCAGCCTCGGTCATCCTCTCTGTCAGCTGTTCCCTAACTTCTCTAGGCCAACTTAGGGCTCCTTCCTCTCAGTTCTCATAATATCTAGTATAGAACATGTCATATGCTAATTGTCTGTTTATATGTGTGTCTGCCCCTGTAGACATTCCTGAGACACCTAAAGGGCCAGACAGGTAAAATAAATGAAGGGCGCATGGCAAAATATGCTAGGTGCAAGACGCAGACACACTTTACTTACGTATCAACTACGTAGGAATTTCCATTTTCAGAGGAAATCAGTTCTCCATTGTCTTGAGCTCTCCACATGACCCTGTCAATTTATCTTTTATATTCTCACTTATTATAGTTATATGGTGTATGGAGAATAATTTTTCTTCTCTTAAGATAACAACTGTACCAGCTCGGAGAAACTGACAGCTTACCTTTGGCCTCATTGTCTACAGACAGTAGGGAGTGGGATGGGGGTGGGAGGAATACGAAACTGGAGGGCACATGCCCCCTCTAAAGGGGCCAACTGTTACTTAGCTGCAGCTGATTGATACTGTGAGGAATATAGGCCCAGTTTTGCCGGAACTGATTTTTTAAGAGATATTGGCAGTCTAAAATTTTACTTGAAAGCAGCAAATTTTTAAAGGTTAAAAAACCAAAACCCATTGTTGTCAAGGTGATTCTGACTTATAGTGACCCAATAGAACTCCCCTATAGGGTTTCCAAGGCTGTAAATATTTTTTTTTTTTTAACTAATTTATTTATTTAAAAAAATTTTTTTTTTATTGTACTTTAGATGAAGGTTTATAAAAGAAAACAAATAGTTTCTCATTAAACAGTACACATATTGTTTTATGACATTGGTTAACAACCCCATGGCACGTCAACACTCTCCCTTCTTGACCTTGGGTTCCCTATTATCAGCTTTCCTGCCCCCTCCTGCCTTCTAGTCCTTGTCCCCTGGCTGTTGGGCCCCATCAGTCTCGCCTTGTTTTATGGGCCTGTCCAGTCTTTAGCTGAAGGGTGAACCTCGGGAGTGACTTCACTACTGAGCTAAAAGGGTGTCTGGGGGCCATACTCTCGGGGTTTCTCCAGTCTCTGTCAGGCCAGTAAGTCTGGTCTTTTTTT